TATGCAGTATTATACAATAATACTGTTCCAGCTTACGTACAAATTTGACTTAAGGACAGACCTTGTCCTTGGGAACAGAACTTGTTAAACTGGGGACTACCTGCACTGTAAAAAACAAACACACAGAAACAAAAACAAACAAACAAAAACCCTCTCATCCTATAAATATATCATTAGGAATGCTGGACGGGGAAAAACCCTCTATCAATATTGCATATCGCTTTATAATACACATAAAATTCAGCCATATAAAAACAAGCCAGTGTAACAATACCTTGCTGAAATTCAAAAGTATATTTCTTCATCTGATATATTCTTTTATGTGATCTCATACACTACTGTGTATAAGGTTTTTTTTTTAATTTAAAAATTAGATATAATTAATTTACTAATTAGGGACAGTAGCAAAAAAAAATTATATTACTTGCAGTTTATTTTGCATAACTATATTTTGTGTATTCAAGATAAGACCTTCTGCATGTATTTTTAAATTTATCTCAGCAACTATCTTCAAACTGGGTTCAGAAAAGAATTTTTGAAAGGAATTTTAAATCCAATACAGCTCTCTAAATCCAGTGGTGAACTTTGTACAGGTCTCTATGCAGTGACAATAAAAGCATTTATGTGGAGGATTCTGTTTTCAGATATTACCAAAATGAATAAATACAGCATATTTGTATATTTCATCTCTTCATTTCCCAAACATTTCAGTAATAATTGTGTAAAAATGTTTTCTAGCTAGTTTTACTCCAAACATAATAATTTCCCAAAGCTCTAAATGTAAGAAATTACAAAGAGCTATACAAGAAAGTATAGTATGTATAATCCTCTTCACTAAGGGAGAAAGTAATAGTTGGGGTACAACTGTCTATGATGAAGATATAACAAACATAAAATTGAACACATATAAAAACAAAACATACTTCTATAATTTATATTAATGAATGCTTACATATTCAGTGCCTGGTAATATTAAAAATTATTCTGAATATGTTAATTTACATATTCATGTAATTGAAACAACATATATGTTCAACTTAGAATGTAAAGTTAGTTATTTGAATAAAAAACTACAAAACTCAAAGTATATTATTAGGCCTAATAATACTTGACTACATTCAGATACTCAACATAAAGTAACATAAATCATACTTTGGGTCAGCAGAGGGAAGAGAAAAGGGATCAGAACAAATTTAAAAATGATTCTCTTCTGCTTCTTTGGATCCTTAATACATGATATAGTGCTCATTATAAATTATGTCCACCCAACTTACTTTTCTCTTTATTTTCCTGCTTTAAAAATTGCTGTTAGAAAATTTTTACAATGAAGAAGTTTTTTGACTAAACAACATGTCTATTACATTCATACAAATTTTAAAAAATGACTATTTTCTATTTCCAGGTCTATGAATATGAATAATGAAAATCAAGCCCAATAGCTTTGGTAATTTTGCCACTCTGATTTTTTTTTTTTGCTTAATTATATTTTTCAAGAGACAAGAAGAATAACATACTTAATATGAACAAATTATCTTTTTAAAAACATTTACAAAACAAAGCTGCAATATTTAAGAACATCACAATATCTGATTTACTAATATCTTTATTGCAAACAGTACACCAGTAATAAACCCACAGCAATTTTTGTTTCCTTCTACAAATGTCAGTATTTATATTTAAAAAAAAAATCTAGAAAAAAAAAATAAACCACCTATAACTGGGATCTTCACAAAACCCAAAACTTGTAATGATGCCTCATAAAGGTTCTGTACTATTTGTTCCAATTGCAGGCATGTGACAGTGCTTTGAAAAGAACAACACTTTTTTCTCCTAGGGTTATGCCAGCACTACACAATTCCAGGAAAAGGTGCATTTGGTTTTAAAAGTTGCTAGATGTATATGTTAAAAAATACATGCTCACTTAATAATCACATTGACATCTATCTACTGACTAAAAACCACAAAACAAAATGTATATTTAAAAGATATACTGTATTAATGTTGACTATATATAAAGCTAATAGGCATGCAAAACAATGTAATTTAACTTCTTCCTATATTAAGAACAGACATTTCACGTATGTAATATTAACATAAGACCTTCATGTTTAACAAGGAATCTTAAGTTTAGGATTCCATTAACATAAACCAATAATCTATAAACATAAACCAATTAATCTATTCATTGAAAAAAGCAAAAGTAAGTTTTAACATCATACATTCTGACATCTTCATAATTAAATACATCTTCGTACTTCTTTCCTCCTCTGAATAACTGATTGGCAACAGCTACACAACCTCTCTGTGAATACTACCATTACTACAAACACAGCCCTAGAAGTGCTCATAAGGGCAGAGTGGTAATAATAACCAACTGATCTCTCTCCCTATCATTAACTTGTGGGATAAAAAGGTTGAATATCCTTAGTATGTATCATCCCAGGTTATACAACTCTTTATTTCTCAGTGCAAAACAGATTCCCTTTTCTTGGGCCCTGGAACATCACGACAATTGGAACACAGCCTCAAGAAAGCTAACTATTTACAAAAAATGACTGAGATTTTACTAAATGTAATATCATTTTTACTCATTCAATTCATTCTAGACATCCAATGCTCAGAATAGTCTAACCCAAATCAGTTACTATATATACATGTACATGTGTGTTATATTAGTTCCTATTTATACTACATCCATGAACAATCAAAAGCAACCAGACTATCTACATTTAACTATGTAAAAGCCACATCTTGCTGACAAATCACTATCTTTTTATTATGCTTTTATTATTTTCATAAGAACGAGAAAATTAAATGTGCCAGAATTCTTCCAACTGCTATATTAGCATTTTGCATTTTGTCTGATTTCTACCATTAAGTATAGCAGCAATGCTATAGGACGACAGAATGACAGAATTGTTAACTGAGAACCTAACTACTTTTCAAACAGTGTAGTCAAATTCTTGATTGTAGTACTTCAGAGTATAGTATGCCACACAATATGTTCATTATGCATTTCCAAATCCTTTGAAAGATTTCTTTTGGAAAGCATGGGAACATGTGCAAAGAACCCCTTCTTGTATTATTACAATAGTCACAACTTTTTCAAAGCATTAATACTGTCTGCAAAGTTTAAAAAAAAGAACTCTCTCATGAGTTTGACAAGACTTAAAAATACTGAGTAGGTTTGTTGAAATCAGTCCCCTGATTTCAGCAAACCAGCTTTAAATATTATATTTAGGTTTAATCCAATATAAATATAAAAGGGAAGCTGCCTTCTTATTGCACATTTGATTTTTATTATCTTACTATTCTGTTTTCAAAAGCAGGAAGACATAGGTTATAATCCCAATAATTCACTTATCTGGTACAGTGGGAAAAGATGTGCAATAACATGTAAAAGGATCAGACCCCATGAAGGAAGTATAGAAACAGTAAAGACAGACATTCTGAAATGCAAAATTATGTAGTCACTTAACCGACATTTGGCAGAAAATATTAAATAAGAAAAAAGAAGTCACAGTGTTGTGTCAAAAACTGCTTTTCTTAATGGTGCAGAAAGATGAAGATACAAAGTGAAGGACCAGGACATTTTATAGTAGAAATCTGACATATAATCAGGTGTAAAGTTTATTGAACACACATGATGTTTAAGGCACACATAAAAAATAATTTCATATCTAACAGTATCAAATAACCTAAAAGACTTCAATATGTGAAGACTAATACTTCACTCCAGTATCTAAATCTAGCAATAAGGGTGTGTGTACTTCAAAAATTGTTTATTACCTAATTCAATATATCCTATTATTAGATCAGGTCAATTTAAGAAATATCAAAGTTATTTATACTACTAAGTTGCATTACTACATGTACAAATAAAAATTCTTCAAATTAAAATTAGGTAACACAGACACACTTTACTACAGTTAAAGCAACATACACACACACACACACACAATTATGGGTTACAGGTAGTCCCCAGTTTAAGAACGAGGTTCCGTTCCCAAGGTCTGCCCTTAAGTCGAATTTGTACGTAAGCCAGAACAGTATTATTGTATAACTGTGTAAGTAGAACTGTGTAATGAACTCAAACCATTGTGTATTTAACTCAAATTTTGCTACAATTGGTTCTTTTCTTAACTATGAGTCATCTGTAACCTGGGCATTCTTAATGCAGGGACTACCTGTACTAATATAGCAAGAAAGCCCTTACTACATTCACCAGCTCTTGGTTTACAGAAAATGTTACCACAAGAGTATATTTGTGCTAGTGTATTTTATAAATTAAAGGCTAATATTCTGGTCCCTGTGTAAAATCTAATCTTTATAAAAAGCAGGGAATCTGATGGTTAACTATTTCAAAATGACAAATGCAGCTTGCAAAATGCCAAATATTAATTAAGGAATGAATTCAGGTTTCATTTCTCTGTCAGATATGCACCTAACGTGCTGAGTAAACACATTCAATATTACATATCTAGAAAGGAAAAGTTTATGCTCATAGAACAAGCAATTCACTATAAGACTGGAGAGAGAGAGAATATGAGAGGACATAAAGTGGTAAATACAGTAAAACTGTGCCTTATTATAACTGATAATCCATTTTAAAAATTCAAAGCTCTTAAGAAATGTACTCCAGAATCTATATTACAAGAATTCAAGTCCCTATTTTCAGATTTCTGAACAAAAGAACTCTATTGTTGTAACAGTTGTCATATATAGTCAGGTATCTCTAACAACGTAAAGATAAAATACTTCATGTCATACAGTCCACTAACGCTAATAGATCAAGAATTCATATTTCAATATTTATTTAGAAACTCCTAAAAAATTGTGGATAACAATGGTTCCTTCACTGTCAGCTTTCTTCAATGTAAGTGGTCAAACTCAATAAAAAACTTGTGAGCTAAGCAAATATTCTGATGCTCAAGAGTGTATTTAAAAGTGTAAAACTGGAACAAACTAATCATCAATGTGGTAATGAACTAGTGAAACTTCAAATTAATGTCTTGTCATGTTATACTATGGAACCATCTTTGCTTTGTGCTGGTATCATCACGGGAATAGCTCCCATTCTACTTAGATTAGGTGCAGCTACCTTTGGTGGATCAAAGTACTGGTTCTGAGGAGTACGTTCAAAGTCTTCACTTGGCACTTTATTGTACTGAGTTTTGGTAAAACCATCCATATTAGATGGAGACATTGAGCCCAAAGATGATCGATTACTCCCTATGTAGCTGCGAGCTGTTGAGGCACGACTCTTTGGAGGAGGGACATCCTCTCTGAAAAATGAAGCATATTTAAGAGTTTTAAGCATCTTTAGAAGCACTAAAAACAGTATTATTTATTTAATGAAGCTAGTATAATTTCTTTCAAACAAGCATCTCCTAAAATACAATACACTTTCACACTTAAAAATCTCTTGGATTTATTCTAAATTTTAGACCATAGTAACATCCAGCCACTACCAGCATTATTCTATAAAAGCAAATTGATCTAGCTGAAGAAGACAAAACAGTCTCTTCCCTGCAACTCTGAACTGGTAAGGAAAGGGAGAAAATGCAGTCTTTAGAATAGCTAAAAGAAAGAACAACAGTCAACAAAGTTGTCAACAGGAGTAAGCTAGTATTCTTTTTATTCACTTGTCAGGGTTTATTAAACATTATTAAATATTTCATAAATACTTTTGACCACATAAGACAACCGAATGATCGTCTTCAAGGCTAATATTTACAATAGCACAACAAGCTTTAGGCATCCTTATATGTTTCAATGAGTGCCTAAGAAGCTGACATAATCTCCTCATGGTAAAAAATTAAAAATGGCTTCTTCCTACAAATTTCTATGAAGTAGTTACAGAAAAGAGTGAATATGGCTCAAAATGCCCTGTTTCAAAATGAAACAGCCATTTTAAACTCAAAGTGAGGCATTTTGATTTTAGCAAAAATGTTCCAACATTTTTAGGAATGTACTGAACTCAAATCCACCTTGTCAAACAGCTGTTTCAACCTTGGAATTATTTATTATATTGATTTATATAGCTGCCCAATTCACAAATTGTAATTCTGGGTGGTAAACATAGGATAAAACCAACAACAAAGCATGACATTAATAACAACAGGATCACAAATAGTAGCACAATGGCATCTAAGGATACTCTAATACAATTCATACAACCATAGTCACAAGGATGGGCACAGCAATCTTTTCAAGTTGGACAGCACTGCACAATTTTACATAATGCTGAGGGCATAAAAAGTATTTTATTTATGTATTTATTTCCCATTTAAAATCTCAACATTTGACAGCAGTAAAAAAGATTAAACTGTTTTTAAAAAAAGTGATATAAAGCATGTATAAAATATACAAGATGAAATGAACAATTAAAACAATAAAACAATGCAATAAAGGATAAAACTAATAGGAAAAAAAAGTTCACAACAGACTATAAATTAACCCATAAAAATATTTTGGTGCCAAAAATAAAATATTAAATTTAAAAAGTAAATAATTCATTAAAAAAATAAAACGCTCAGAATTTCATGAAATTTCATCTGAGTCCAGAGATTTTGTAAGATTTGGTTATCTGATACTACCTAAATGCTTAAATGCTATGTCACCCACAGCCCTGGGTTGATAATCTCTTTAATAATTCTTGCATCTGTTTCTTTTAAACAATTTAAAACAAATGATATTACCCATTAGGGCCACACCAGCAGGAATGGAGGGGACTTGCAGCTTTAAGACCTCAAAAGGCCAACAGGATTTATCATAGCTCCCCAAGAAGCCGCACGGGTGGAAATGAGAAAGAGTATTAACTCTCCACCTCACTGCTTACTAACTCTGATCCAATTATGTTGGATAGAGGAGTGAGCAGGTAGAAACAAATTATGGCTGTAATTATCTATACCTGAATTTGTGTTGTATTTATTTTTCTCCTTCACTGACTTGCAGATAAAATGATTCACCCAGATCAGCAGCATTTTTTCCTGACGTTCTAGTTGGCCTTTTCCTGTACACTTTTCACATTCTCACTTCTGTCCTAGCCCCCCTTTCTCTCATATGTTTCATCCCAATTTTAGAGACTCTTCATGAAAGAGGGAAAGATGGTAGACGGGTCTTATATATGGAAGGGGGAGGGAATGGATGAATCTGCAAACTAACCTTTATACTCAGAAGTGAATCTTATTGAACCTTCACTAGCTCTCACAATTTCCATTTTTGACATTCTTTTATTTGCTTCAGCTCATGCCCACTCCACTGCTCAACTTTTTGGAAGGGTATATATTTCAATATAGTTCACAAAAAAGTATGTTTTTCAGGTTTTGTTTCCAATTCATCAAAAAAAAACAAAAACAAAACAGTGATCTTGTAGGGTAATAACACTAGCATAATAGCATAAGACTCTTGGTTTCTGTTTACCTCAGTGTTTCTCAACCTTGGCAACTTTAAGATATGTGGACTTTAAGTCCCAGAACTCCCCAGCCACCGGCCTATCCTGTTCCTTAGTATTTTTTTAGATTTTTTCTGCCAAATAAGCCTATGTAAAATGTAAGCCTATGTAAAACTTTATTCTAAAGTACATTCCTTGAGCCTAAATAGATGTGTGTCAATTTAATATGCATACTTTTTTTTAGACAATTAGTGTTTCCCAAGTTGATTTGCATTAATAAAAGACAGCACTATTGTCTATGACTATTTGCTCCAATCTTTTTAGATTTTTAAAAGTTTTTAGATTCTTTTAGTTTTTACTTTTAGAATAATTCTGTTCTAAATATTAATTATGCTATTATTATTGCTAAGTTTCTTTATATTGAATTACACTCAACAGTTTCTACATTCTTATATCAGGTGAAATAAATGTACATTTTCATACATCCTGATATTTAAAATGTTGTCATTTATAGCACAGATAAAATCTTACTAGTCCCATTATAATATTTTCTCACTTTGTTTTTTAAACATGTGAATTTTGTTTAACTAGGGCAATAAACCAAATGTTATGAAATCATTTTTTAAGCAAAAGATTATCCATATATTTGCACTGGTAGGCGATGATTGACTTTGCTGCTAAAAAGGAGATAAATCAAAACTTTTTAAAAATTAACATTTTTAGAAATGAAATTTTGAAATTATGTTTACAGTTAATCAGAATGACGCACCTGATATCATGATGTACTTCTTTTTCATATTTTTTTTCTCTTCGTTTCTTATAGAAACAGAAAATGAAAACAGCCAATATGCAGAGTGCCAGAAGAGTCCCTATAACTGCTCCAGCAATTGTACCAGCTCTATCTATAGCTAAAATACACAAAACAAATTATGTGAGGTAGCAGAAATTAATTTTGCAGTTTAATGCCAAATATTTAGCAAATGTCTATTTTTATTACTTCACTGTTCCCTATTAGCTAATACTTACGAGGTTTAACAGTCAGTATAACAGAACATTCATCTGTGCCGACCTTATTTATAGCAAAACACGTGTAAGTACCAGAGTAAGCCTGAGAAGCGTTTTTCACAAAAAGGTCACCTGTATTTGCATCTGTAAATATTCAAGATATTTGTTAGAATTTTGCAACAATCTATAAAATAAAAAACAGTATCTTAATGTTATTTCATGTAATGTCATTATATATTACTTATACACCACACACTTTGATGTAAATCTTCTGCAAATATTACTGAGTATTAAAATTATTTTGGGAATGAGAGTAGATAGAAGCCCTTCTTCCAATGTCTTTGCATACCAGCACTTTACAGATGAAAATTGCACTGCAGTACTAAGGTCCACACATATGTTACCACTTAGGTATGCTAGCTGTACACCAGAAGAAAACTAGTTCCTGAGTGAGATATAGCTGGAAAGAAATCACCTTTTCAAATGTGTATAAAACAAAAGGAAATTCAAGTACTAATCTCTGCCAATTCACTTTTTCTACTGCTATCAGATGGTTAGTAATTAATCTATCACAGCCATAGACATTTTGGGGGCAGGGATAAAATTAATCTTTTGAAGAAATTGAAAGGCTGTTATCACCTCACAAAATTATTACTGTGGTGTGAATTTTTCAAACAAAGTAATTCATAATATATGAGAAGTTCATGCAGTGCACTTCTTTTTTCAGATCATTAGAGCAACCATGTCTTCTGCAAGGCTGTGCAGCTGCCTCAAAAAGCATTCTTCCCTGTCTCAAGCAACATCTGTAGAGCTGCTTCACATACAAAATAAGAGCTTTGCACATGCTAAAGTTGCAAGTATCTCTTTTGAAGGTTTTGCATGGATCTAAATTATTATATTCAATTATCACAAATGATTATTGTGTAAAAACAGAATTCTCTAAATGCCAAGCAACACCTTGCTTTTATACTTACATACACCTATATGCATAATTTAATATACTCCATGTATATCAAAATTACTTATGTTATCCCCAAATAAATATTGGTACTGATTCTACTTTTACCTTTCATAAAAAAAGATCAGTGCCCTTACATCAATACAAGAAAAAGCATACAGTTACTTGGATATGAATTTGCATTCAATTACAGTAAGACAATATGCTTCTGAAATTGAAAAGTTGTAGAAACTGCAAGTAGAACAGTAAAAACAAAGCAAGTTCTACAACTCCTAACACGTATGAAAAAACACTTTAGATTATAGTTAACAGGATTTTTCTATGAAATTAACACAAAGACAATACTGAAAGAAAAGTTTCTGTCACTGAAATATACTTACAGACATGAGCAACCATGGGTTCACAACTATCACAATTACCTTTTTTTTATAATAGAAAACATGGTTATTTTGTTAATTTACATAGACTTTTTCCTCACAATTGTCCCGCCTTCTGAATTGGATATAAAGCAAATTATGCACTTTTTGTCCATTATATTTGATTGATTAGGGGAAATTAATTTAATCATTTTCTGATATAACAACTGAATTGTTGCATCTATCCAAAGGCTATCTGGTTGTTCAGCACTGGCTAATCCCAGGAAGCCCACCAGCAAATTATGATGGACAGCTTTCATGATTCTAACATCAATGTTCACTTAAAGTTCTACAAACGTAACCACCTCTATACCTTCTTTTGTGAAAATTCAGGGATTTTAAAAAATGGTTTTTGAGGCAGCCCCAAGAAGGGAAAAATAGTAGAATCTTAAAAAGAGTTACTAAATAACATTTAAGCCATTTATGCACAGTTGAGTGCCTCCCCCCCCTTTTTTTTATTTCTATGATTACTAGTAAAAGATAAGATCTGTGAGCTGGACATAATTCCTGTTAACTTCATAGACACATCCATGTAACTTTCATGGCAGCAATATAGAAGTGATTTGCCACTGCTGTCTTTTGGTACTTTTTTTTTTTTTTTTTTAAGTTCCAATCTAGCCTATTGTCCTGGATTCTCTTTCCATGCAAGTACTAACCAAGTCCAAAGCTGCTTAGCTTTCTGAGGTAAGTCTAGATTGGCTAAGTATTACCACCTATCAATAAGACATCATGAAATAATACTATAATTACCTCTAGAGTCTTAGAGAATTATCTCTGCTTAAGGTAGAACAAGGTACAGTGGAACCTCGGTTTACAAACTTAATTTGTTCCCTGACTCTGGCCATAACCCGAATTGGTCGCAACCCGAAGCAAATTTCCCCAAATTTCCATCCTGAACCTTTCTACATGAATCCTTCCAAAAGAATATGGGCAATGGTTCAATGTAATTACCATTAATCCGTTCTGGCGTGGAGGACAAGGATGCGGCTATTGCTTGGAGGGAGAGTCCCCCTCCCTACGACCACGTGTCAGGGCAGGAAAATGGCCACGGACCACGTGTCGGGCGGAAAAATGGCCGCGGACCACATGTCAGGGGCAGAAAAATGGCCGCGGACCACGTGTCGGGGAGGAAAATGATCGCGGACCACGTGTCAGGGGCGGAAAAATGGCCGCGGACCATGTGTCGGGGCGGAAAAATGGCCGCGGACCACGTGTCAGGGGCGGAAAAATGGCCGCGGACCATGTGTCGGGGCGGAAAAATGGCCGCGGACCACGTGTCAGGGGCGGAAAAATGGCCGCGGACCATGTGTCGGGGCGGAAAAATGGCCGCGGACCACGTGTCAGGGGCGGAAAAATGGCCGCGGACCATGTGTCGGGGCGGAAAAATGGCCGCGGACCACGTGTCAGGGCCGGAAAATGGCCGCAGACCATGTGTCAGGGGCAGAAAAATGGCCGCGGACCGTGTCACGGGAGGGAAAATGGCCGCGTATCCTGCTCATACCCCGAAGCGGAGTTCACAAACCGAAGCAAAATTTTGCGGCCGGAGCTGGTCGTAACCCGAAAAGTTCATTAACAGAAGCGTTCATAACCCGAGGTTCCACTGTATCTGAAAGACTCTCACACAAAGGCTTGCAAATTCAGTGAACCAATGTGCAGAAGCAAAGCAACTTGTCAAAACTGGCAGATTCCAAAACAGGTTTTTTGGTTGGCTTCAAAACTAGTCCAGGGATTCCTTACTATTTCTTACACCTTTTCAGTGCTTATCCCAAACGGGAATAGCCTAACTGGTATGTATATGTGGGACAGAAATATGTACATTTTACTCTAATACTCATGCTCCCTTTCTACTACCAAGTGTTTTATTCATACATCTTACTTTTTTTGATTAACCATGTGTCATTTAGGAAAGCAAATATTCCATCCTGAACCTTTCTACATGAATCCTTCCAAAAGAATTTGGGCAATGGTAGGCAATGGACAACAAGGCCATAGCTCTGTTTCCTTCAATGACAGTTAACTATATTTCCCCTTTTCAACTAGCTTCAAGAACTTAAATGTCTGACAATATACCACTTAGAAATATTTTGGACAATCACATGGTAAATAAAATACCCTTATATTGTAAATTAGACAAAATGTTTTTTTCCTTATGTTTCAAAGTTGGTCTAAAATTAACTTAGTTTTTGAAGACAAAAAAGGTATACACAATAATACTCCTATCTGTGAAAAATATATTAATAACATGAAAGCATACTCGGTAATGCTGTTGCTGGAAGTTCTTGTGAACCAGTGGTTTTTTTCCAGCTGTAAATTATGATGGGAGAGCCTTCTTGGGATTTACATTTCAGAGTAAGATCTGTTCCAATCTCCTGTGATCCCTCCACATAGCATTTAGTCTTCGTGGGCTTTTCTGATGAATAATGATAATAACGTAAGTGAAAAGTCTTTAACTATGAATCCATTAATTGGCATTTCCATCTATATACAGGAATCTTTATTTGTACTGGAGATTTCAGCAGGCTACCGAACAATAGCAATTTACCCTAGTTAACAATATAGGACCAAATCCAGAGTTATACCACATATTTGCACTATCTTAACCCTAAAACCATACTTTTTTCTCGGCTCACAATAACCCTTGTCCAATCCTGCAAGTGCTTTCTTAGCTCAAGCATGTATTTTCCTGAACTGTGAGGCTAATCTGCGAGCCAAGGAAAAGCTTCACCTTTTAGGAGGCAACAACCTATAATCCTGCTGAAACAGCTGTTCCACTTCAGATCAGAATAGCTGACCATTCCTAGCTACAACTATTCTACAAGGCTTTGATCTGAAATATCACAGTAAATATAATTATACTATTAATTATTATAGTATTATAGTATTATAGCAAAATAATTTCTAATTATATGAGTTACCATTATGATGGTATGCCAGAACCAGTGGGGTACACCACTTAAAGTGCTGGCTTAGGATAAAGATGATGAAGATTTAAGCCCCCTTAGCCATGGAAGCCATTTGGTTGACTTTGGACCAGTCATTCTCTTAGGCTATTCTACCCCAACAGGGCTCCTGTGGGATAAAACTAAAGAATGTGTTTTGTATGACAATTTGAACTCCTGGAGTAAATACATGACATAGTGAATATATTAGAATAATGAATGACAAAAATGCAAGCCAGTGTATACACTTAACCTGTATGATCCTCCCTATTAGTCCAAAGACCTAGGCAAAGTCAGCCTAATCCTCTAAGGAGGGAAAGCTTAAGTGCAGTGTTTAATTTTTTGTAATGCAAAGCTTTGTGAGCTTCTTTTTGCTGGGACCAACCAACTTCCTCTACCTTCTAATCTATGCACCCATCCAAGTGTATTGTCTGCCTGAAGCCATTGTTTCTTGTAATATGCTTGTGACTTCAGTCCATATTAACCTGACAAAAAATAAGACATAAATTCTTTTATGTTTGCTTCTTTTATCAGTAATAGTAGATGTTGTACACAAATGACACAAAACTAAAAAATCAGAGGTAACTAATTGAAAGGACTTCAATATGACATAGAAAAGTCAAGTGATGCACTCAGGCACATTCATGACCAACATGGGTGGCGGGGGGGAGGGATGCATATATAACTCTAGGGTGAAAAAGCACTTTGTTAGTGTTTAGAAGTAATTTACTTTACTCTTACAGGTGGGAGGCCAACAAGCCAATTGCAATACATTAACCCCTGAATCTTTCTTTTTAGTTCTCTGTACTGGTTCTCTTCAATTTTTAATGTCTCAACCTAGTGCTTTATTCTTAGGCATATATGTTCTCTTATATAAACATGCTTAGCTACAAAACTTTGAATCTGAAGAGAATTTATAAATCTTGCAAGGAAGAATTTGAAAGTTAAGTATGGTTTCATTGTAGTAGATCCAGCCACATTTCCACTAAAAACAAAAAGCAGCAGTTTCAAGCAGCATCATTCAGTAACAGAGCTACTTGCTGGGAAAGACTGGAATATATATAATACTAACTTTGTTCCACTGTCAGATGTAAACATAACTCAGAGAATTGTACTAAAAAGTTAGGTATTGCAGTGTGAGCAGTATGATAGATGCTCTTTCAGTCATAAATTTATATTGCATGACACAACAAAGATTCATGTAGTGTTGTTGTCATGGTGCCTCACTTATCCTGTTTTTAATTTCCCAAGCTCATGGGAACATAATTCAAAAGACTTGAACTTAAAAAGGTAACACATTGAAATTTATGAGCATAAATTTAAAAACTGAAGATGCTCATTTTTAAAGAAAAATAACTGAACGACTGTTGAGTATCCAACAATGCATTATACTTTTTGCATTACATTGTACTTCCTACGCACTAAATATTTGCATTTACCACCTCATACAGAGCTGTACAAAAAGGCAAATCACAAATACCTTACCAAGTACTGTCAAGTGGATTCTATGAGTCTGAACACCAGGAAGTTTCTTCACTTTACATTGGTATGTGCCAGTATCTTCTGGTTTTAAATTTAGGACATCAATGCTTGCATCTCCAGAAGTTGGATTTTGTTCAATAAACTGTACTCGTCCTATCATACGATACTTATCATAAACTTTGTCTCTATTGTATATGATGACCTGAATGGGGGGAAAAAAAGTAAAGGTTGTATTATATCTACAGTGGTGTTCAAAAGTGTGTGAACCCTTTTGAATTTACAACATTTCTGCATAAATATAACCTAAAACATGATCTGTACTCCACACAAGTCCTAAAACTAGATAGACACTATCCAATTAAACACGTTTCAAAAACATTATACTTGTTCACTATTTATTGAAGAAAATGATCAAAACCTACATATTTCTGTGTGGCAAAAGTATGTGAATCTCTAGGATTATCAGTTCATCTAAAGGGGAATTAGTCAGGTGTTTCAATCAATGAAAAGATCATCAGGGATGAGTATGGGAGGTCCTGGCTTATTTAAAGAACAAAATTCTGGATATATACTATCAAAGTCTGATCTGCACAGCAGTTTAAGTGTGTCATGGCTCAAACAAAGGAAATTTCTGGGGACCTATGAAAAGCAGTTGTTGATGCTCACCAGATTGGAAAAGGTTACAAAACAAAAGGTTACATTTCCAAACAGTTTGGACTCCACCAGTCCACTGTAAGGCAGCTTGTGTACAAATGGAGGCAATGGAACACTATTGTTATCCTCCCCAGGAGTGGTGAACCAGCCAAGTTCACATCAATAGCAAGCCATATAATACTCAGCAGGTCTCAAAGAACCCCAGGGTAATGTCTAAGGAACTAAAGGTGTCTCTGGAGAATGTCAGCGTTCATGAGACTACCATCAGAAGGACAGTGAACAACAATGGTGTGCATAGCAGGGATACAAGGAAAAAGCCACTACTTTACAAAAAGAACATTGCTGCCTGGCTACAGTTTGCAAAAGACCACATGGATAAGTCAGAGGGATATTGGAAGAATGTTCTGCGGATAGATGAAACCAAAACAGAACTTTTTGGTTTGAATGAAAAGCATAATGTATGGTGAAAGGCAACACTACACTCTAACATAAGAACCTTATCCCATCTGTGAAACACAGTGGTGGCAGTATCATGGTTTGGGCCTGCTTTGCTGCCTCTGGACAAGTATGGCTTGCCATCATTGATGGAACTATGAATTCTGAATTTTACCAACAAATTCTACAGAGTATCTGTCCATGAACTGAAGCTCAAGAGAAAGCAGGTCAGGCAGCAAGGTGACCCAAAGCACATAAGTTGTATGGTCAAAGAATGGTTAAAGCAGAAGTTAGTTAATGTTTTTGAATGCCCAAGTTAAAACCCTGACCTTAATCCTATAGAAATGTTGTGGAAGGACCTGAAGCAGACAGTTCATGTGAGGAAGCCCACCAACTTCCCTGAGTTAATGCTGTTCTCTAAGGAGGAATGGGCTAAAATGCCTCCAAGCGATGTGCAGGACATCGTTATTGGAAACATTTAGTTGCAATTACTGCTGCTCAAGGAGGGCACACCAGTTTTACTGAAAAGCAAAGGTTCGCATACTTTTGCCACACACAAATATGTCGCTTTGGATCATTTTTTCTCAATAAATCAATGAACAAATATAATATTTTTGACTCATTTGTTTAATTGAGTTCTCTTTGTCTACTTGTAGGACTTGTGTGAAGAGATCACATTTTAGGCCACTGTATGTCTTAGTTATAAATAATCTGTTCAATGTACTTCTCCAAAAGTGCCCTAGAGAATGACATGGTATTTTCATTAAGAATTTAACTTAACATGCACACAACCTGAATTCAAAATGAATATTAAATCTATGTAATAACTTCTACTTACTGGTTCTTCTCCATTTGGTTCCAAAATACTCCATTCAATTTCAACTGTGCTTTCATCTTCTGGGGTGAGAGTAAATGTGCACAGCAGTGTAACTTTCTCTCCTTGAGCTTTTGTAACCATGGTCTGCTCAGTTGAAGTTATTGTTACACCTTCAGTTAGATCTAGGAAAAGCATTGTGAAATCAAGAATGTTAGATTCAATATCTTAAAAGTTAAAATAAAAACACAAACTTGTAACTGAAAAACTTTTATAGCAAGTGTTTGGTTCTTTAGATACCTAGAGGAATCAAATGATTTTGTAATCCTCATTTGCACATTATACTCAAAAGGACTGTGTATTTCTGAAACAAAGAAACATATATAGGAAAGGCAATAATTACTATTTATTTAATTTAATCAATTTGTATAGCCACCCATCTCAACAAGTGACTTTGGGCGGTGAACATATTAAATAAAAACAAAAACAATTACAATCATAGATTCAAAAATTAAAGTGCATAGCATCTGAGGAAATGACACAGTTAACAAACACTAATACAGCCAGGAGATGGGTCTCTTCACTTAATTGAAGCCCCAAGTCCAGGCACAGAACCTGGGCTGACAAATGGCTAGCAGGGTCGGGGCCAACCTGATCTCCGGAGGGAAAATGTTCCATAGGGCAGGCACTATGGCAGAAAAGGCAAGCCACCAACTGGCATTCCTTAGCTGATGGGACCCGAAGCAGGCCCATCCTGTTGGACAGGACTGAATGGGTAGACAGGACCAGAGAGAAACAGTCTTTCAAGTAACCCAGTTCCAAGACGTGAAGAGCTTTAAAGGTGACAACCAACACCCTGATTTGCACCCAGAAGCATACCACCAATCAATGCAGCATCCAAAGTAGTGATGTTACATGTGCCACATAACTGGCGCCACTGACTACTCATGCTGTCGCATTCTGCACCAGCTGAAGCTTCTAAATGCTCTTCAATGGAGGCCCATGTAGAATGCATTACATGTAAATCCAGAAGGGAGGTCACAAGGGCATGAGTGACAGTGAGCAGGGTCTCCTGGTCCAGGAACGGGTGTAACTGGTGCACAACCCGAAGGTGTGCAAGACCATCCTAGCCACAGCTGCCACTTGTTCAAGCAGGAGCCACGAGTCCAGGATTGTGCACTGGGTCTGAGGCAGTGCCACCTCATCCAGAACAAAAGATGGAAGATCTCCAGCACCATAATGTCTTGAGTCAAATCAAAGCCTGTTGTGCCCCATCCAGACCTTGACAGTGTCGAGGCACTGGGACAGGATGTCTGCAGCATCACTCAGACTGTCTGGGGCGAAGATATAAAGCTGAGTATCATCAGCATACTGGTGATATCTCACCCCAAACTGTTGGATGATCTCAACCCAGAAGCTTCATGTAGATGTTAAGCAGGAGGGCGGAAAGAATCAAGCCCTGTGGCACCCTACAGAGCAGGGGCCATGGGCTGGACCTCTCCCCTCCTATCAACACCAACTGGAACCAGCCGCAGAGGAAGTAAGAGAACCAACACAACACCATGCTGCTCACCCCCACTCCCGGAGCCGGTCCAAAAGGATACCAGTTGCCAGTAGGTAACTAGTACAGAACACTGGGATAATATGCTTTTAAGGACAAGCATCAGCCAACAACTGGACTGCTGTACTTTAGATCAGCCGTACTTAGTGTTTCAACTTCAATGGCAGCCCCATGTAGAGCACACTGCAGCAGTCTAAGTAGTGATGAGAACATGAGTCACTGTTTCTCCCATTCCAAAACTGTTCTCCTATCCATGGCCTTCATCTGCCCTGCTCTTCCTGTTGGGCCATATCCAGAAAGCAGTGTTGGGAAACTACATTCAAATACTTGAACAAATATAAAATAATATCCCAATTCCTGATCCAGCAATCCCAACATTGGTGCTATGAGACTAGGCTGAAGCTGCCATAACCTAAAGATGAACCAGGCATGTAAGCAGGAGAGAACAAAAGCCAGGAATCTTGTCTAAAAGATGCCTTCAGGGAGGTAGATAAGAAGGAAACAGGTTGTTAAGGGAACAAAGGAAAAATGTCACCTGAAGCAGAGAAAAGAAGCTGGCCGTAGCCCATTGGGGGGGGGGGGGAACCAAACAAATCCCATCCATAGTTAACAGGAAATTAACAAGGCAAGAGTAGCTGCCAGTCTTGTGAATCAACAAAGCAAGGACTGTTGGGGATAAAGGGGGTCCTGAAACCCACCCACTGAGTCCTCTTGGATCCAGACTTGGCAGCTTCCGTCCCTCTAGCTAGTGCCTGGCAGCCTAGTTGAGAAGGACATGGCTAGGTGAGGATGGGGAAGAGTGTGTGTACGTGTGAGAAAGAGCAAATGTACATTATAAACAGTAAAGTTTTACTGCTACTTTAAATTCACTGGGTCTCCGTGTATTCCAAAGAATCTGATGTGCCTCGGTGTTCAGCTTCATAATAAGTTTCCAACATAGGTCATCCATCAAAGCGGTGTCAGCAAGAAATCTGACGAAATGGATCCAGAAAACAAATTCAAAAAATCTGTATCATTCATATTAGTCTGGAGTTGCAAAGTCACAAAGTTCTTGACTGTCTTTTCCAGAAAAGCCTTTCTTTTTATGCAAGGTTGTTTCAAGCTATTCAAGTATTTAAGTCAAACAAGAACATGACAACAGAGCTCCCGCTCTTTGGAACATTCTGCCCCTGGAGGTGCGATTGGCCCCCTCACTCCTGGCCTTCCGAAGAGCCTTGAAGACCTGGTTCT